TGCAATGACCATCTTATCATATGAAGGGGGTGGGCTTCTTGTTCTTTAAAACACGCACACGCATTTATCACATACATTCACTTTTAGCATCACAAATGAGGGAGGTGCAGGTGATTGAGTGATGGGGTTTCATAGCTAATCTAGATGTGGCAAACTCAATCAGTGAGGAGCTCCATACTGCTAATCAGAGAGAGAGATAAGACCCACCCCCACTCTGGGTTGCTGAAATCTCCTTAGATTTTTAAGTCACTGTAACCCCTCACCACCCCCTGTTCCCCAAAGACCATCCACCCCAACACTCCATCGCTTTTCCTGCGAGAACAACAGATGGTAGGCCCAGATTATAGGGGAAATATCAAACAAGAGTGTGTTTGTCACATTAGAGTATTACAGGAATTGGCTTAGACTTAAACAATCAGTAATGTAAATAATCTTTTCAGGCTTTCTGTATATCATAGAGTTTAGAATCATAATGCAATGCTAATTTGTTGTTATCGTTTACTGGTATCAAGGGAACATTTAAATGAGTAGTGTCTGAGTTTTTAATATTAATGCATGCTAAAAAAACAAATATGCACAAAGAGCAAACCACTTTGTTTTGCACTGTGTATATATATTTTTTTACCACAATTCATTGTGCCACCTGACTACCATGAGGTACCACTTTTTGTGAATTAATTTGATCTGCATATCATGTAATTATTATTTTACTCGATTGACAAGACTAGTCATTTATTTTATTTATCTTTATTGTTAAGGAAACACCCATTCCAGTTAGTGTAGTGTAATGAAATCTTAGCCCAAAAATTAATGGACAGCTTGACATTGGTGTATTGATTTTATGAAGGTTGAGGCTGATCCTCCCACACATGACAGCTGCTTAGCACCTTCACTACTGATCATACATTGAGACAGGACATATGCTTCTAGTCTGATAGTGAGTGAATGATTGAAATAACGAACATATGAGTAAATAATGATTTGCTAGATTGGGGAGGGGGAAAGATACCAGGGTAATACCAGTCATGATGAATGACAGAAACGGCACTCGAAATCTTATTTCCACAAGCAGTTGTACCATTTGAATTTGCTAAATTATTCATCCCATCATCCTTTTGTTTAGGGCTGTTGAAAAAAGTGGGAGGGTTAACAATGTGGCAGATCGTGGGGGGAACAGACCACTCCGGCATTTCCGCTCCAGCTCTGTGCCTCTACCCCTGGTTATGGACAGCTTGGTACACTCCAGCATCGGGACATCAATCAAAGCAGCCCTTCAGCCTGCGCCACACTCCACTGAGGAGGGAAATGGAGGGAGCCTCTCCTCCCCACGAAAACAACCTCCTCCCAAACCCAAACGAGACCCTAATACACGTCTGAGTGCATCGTACGAGGCAGTATGTGCAGGGCTGAGTATTGCACCCAAAGACAGCCCTGCTGAGGGTCAAGCCTCTCCATCTGGAAGCCCACCAAAATCCCAACTCTCTCCTTCTGATCGTACGTATAAATATGAGCTGAAACATTCACTGCATGCCCAAAAGTATGTGGACACCCTCTTCTATTATACATATGAAATATTGACCTGCACAAAGCCTAAACCTGAATCCCACTGATTTACCTTTGGGAGCCAGACCCCATCATGCAACATCAAGGTCTAGCCTCACTGATGCGCTTGTGTCAGAATACGTGCAATACTTGCATCCCTATTCCAACATCTAGTGAAAAGACCTTTCCAGAAGAGTGCAAGGAGAATTAGGGAGTATCAACTTGCCATTAATGACAGTAGTTTCAGTGTAATAAATGTAGATTAAATATTAATTAATTTTAAATACAATGTTGGTGTGGTGTTCAAATGTCCACATACTTTTGGCCATATACATGTTTCATGCAACACAGAACTAAATGTCTTAATCTACTTCAATATTGATAATTGTTCCTGGCATTCCAGTAAATAGCTTTTCCCTTTCCTTCCAAAACCATCCATCATCCCACTATACCTCAAGCTCTTTCTAAACCTCGTCCTCATAGTGATGACTACAGCACCATGAAGAAAATCCCACCCCCCAAGCCCAAACGTAGCCCTAATACTAAACTGACGGGCTCCTATGAGGAGATCTCTGTACCTTCTCCTGCACGGCCCACGGACATGAAACTTGTCAGCCTGTTACGAGGCGGCCACTGCTTGGGCCTCATCCAGCGAGCAGCATCTGCGGACGGTCCCCATTCTTCTGTGCTAAGCCTATACCCCTGCCAGGATGAGGAGGATGTGTATATTGAGATGGTGGGGGCCTCAAGAACCCTCAGACTGGCAGACTCCCACAGTCCAGAACTGGGAGAGGCGGTATACGAGGAAATGAAGTACTTCCCAACTGATGAGGTGGGGTCAGCTCCAGTGGTCAAGCCTGAAGCTGTCAATCCCACTACTAATATCCTACCTGCCCCAGTGCTGGAAATCAAGAGGCCTGTGACTTTGATGGAGCACTCTGGCACGCTCGGGGGAAAGCAGCAGGGCAAGGATGGGACGGCATGTGACATTCCTGCTCCATTCCCCAACCTCCTTCAACATCGTCCCCCACTTCTAGTCTTCCCTCCGTCCCCTGTCACCTGCTCTCCCGCCTCGGATGAGTCCCCCCTTACACCTTTGGAGGTGAAGAAGCTGCCAGTGTTCGAGACCAACCTCAACTACACCAGCCAGGATGGGGGCAGCCCACTCTCACCACAGTATACCCGACAAAGAGCTGACTCCTCACCGAGTCTTTCCATTTTAATGCCAGACAAATCTACGCCACCCTTGACTCCTCCTCCCCCTCCGGCAGCACTTCCACCTCCTTACCGTCCCCCATCCCACTTCCCCTTTCCCCCTGAACCAAACGTCTTGGCCCTGACCCGTGCAGCTTCTGTGGCTACCACCGATTCTCCCAAAGAGAGGGTATTTTATCCCGTGTCAGACCGTCTCTGCGGGGGTTCGTATTCCAAACCTCCCTTCTCCCCAGTAAAGACCTCGAGGCCAGAGCCCCGCAGAGCTCACTCCTGCTCCTCCTCGCCTCTGCTCTTCAACCCTGCCAATGGAAGACCCCTCACCAGCCCTCTAGATGAGCTCAACACCCTTTTCAGCTCAGGGCGCAGCCTTCTTCGCAAGTCCACCACTGGAAGAAAGATCCGTGACAGCGGTGAGTGAGGGTGTGTGCATGTGTTTGGGTACATGTGTTCTAAAGGTGTTGTAAGTAATTATTCCTTACATAATTACTTATTCCTATTGGCACCAAAAGGAATTGCATACATGAATGACCAAGCAGGTCTCTCAAGCACTTTGTCTATAGTTGATCCAGTGTTGAACCATGTCCGGCCTCTCAGTCAGAAAAATCAATGTTGAAAGTGCCACAGAGCGACAGTATTTCTACTTTTTGCTGAAATCTTTTGTTTCACAGTAGAAAGAAAGTCAAAGTCAAAATTTTGCGATATTTTATAAATGTCAATAAAAAACCTATTGCAAAATGATGGTGTTTCGATTAACTGATGTAATACTAAAACGTATTTCTTTCCTCTCGCGATAAGTCATGTTGATGGATGGTAGGTTTACGTATATTGCAGCCGTCGCACTAGCCATTATTTTTAATCGAAGGAGACATAGACATGTATCTTTTGCGAGCATAGACGTGTGGCAACGTGGCTGGCATAAACACAAGCATTGACTAGAGTGGCCACATCTGAGCCGTAATGCGCCGCAGACGTGTGCAGTATAAATAAGGGGTTATCCAAGCATTAATGACTATGAAATCTGCTTGTTCTTTAGAGCGGCCTCATATGAGGGGTTTCTTGGAGGTTATAGTACATTAAAGAATGATTGTGATTTTTATTTACACCAGGTGACCTGTAAATGCAGAAAAACGGTTTCCATTGCAGTTTTGCAAAATATTAAATTTGCACAGTTTGAAGGGTGATGGAAACACAGCTCATGATTACACAGTTTTCATTTCTGTGTGAACTGTCCTTTTAAACTGTTGTATTGCATGCTCCAGAGACATGAATCACAGATTTGTCTTGAAACACAGATTTTTTATAGCTCATCAAAGAAGTTTATGCTCACCAGCACACATGGTCATGCTTAATTTGCTGGAGGAGCATTAAAATAGTCTGGTCAAATTATAGAAACTTTCCCAGCACTCTTCTGGTTAAATGTCATTTCATATATGTGGTTACTGAAAGGCACGTCCTGTTTAGTATGATTTTTCTTGACTCATCCAGTGCCATGCTTTGTCTTTGTCAAACAAAAGTGAGGTCAGTACTGATAAAACAGTCATTTACCATAAAACCTCAGTGTTCTCTCTCAGAAACCCATTCTGATGCAGGCAGAGCGTTTATGTATGATGGAGGTTTAGGCTGTATTTTGCATCTGCTCTGGATCACTTTTACGGCACAACAACATCTTTATGCAACAACTGCCCTTAAATGCTTCTACACTATGGGCCCAAATGTTGAATTGAGTCAGAATAATCTGGAATGGTGTTCTGGCATCTTTTTTTTAACTAATATATAATGCACATTAAGGACATATTCATTTAAGGAAAAGAGCATTAAATGTCACATTAAAATAAGATAATTTGACGAGAAAGCATTCTTAAGAAGGATGTTGGGTGTGTTTGCCAATTTAGTTCACATGCTGTGTCTAACACAGTTTCCCTCGCCTCCTCCTCTTAACCTTTGTATTTAATTAAAGATGCTTTACCTACTCCCATCATTAATTTATGAGCATGGGTCCCATATGACCCTGACCCATATGTGCTTGTGTGCAAAATAAGTGTAAGAAATTCAATGTTGTTTCACAAATGTGCAACTGACAATTTTAATCTAAATATCTTAGTCCGTGATTGGTTACATCTAAAAGACACCATGGAGGCCAGTACAGGTGCATCTCAATAAATTAGAATGTCGTGGAAAAGTTCATTTATTTCAGTAATTCAACTCAAATTGTGAAACACGTGTATTAAATAAATTCAATGCACACAGACTGAAGTAGTTTAAGTCTTTGGTTCTTTTAATTGTTATGATTTTGGCTCACATTTAACAAAAACCCACCAATTCACTATCTCAACAAATTAGAATATGGTGACATGCCAATCAGCTAATCAACTCAAAACACCTGCAAAGGTTTCCTGAGCCTTCAAAATGGTCTCTCAGTTTGGTTCACTAGGCTACACAATCATGGGGAAGACTGCTGATCTGACAGTTGTCCAGAAGACAATCATTGACATCCTTCACAAGGAGGGTAAGCCACAAACATTCATTGCCAAAGAAGCTGGCTGTTCACAGAGTGCTGTATCCAAGCACGTTAACAGAAAGTTGAGTGGAAGGATAAAGTGTGGAAGAAAAAGATGCACAACCAACCGAGAGAACCGCAGCCTTATGAGGACTGTCAAGCAAAATCGATTCAAGAATTTGAACAACGAACAACGTCAGAGGCGTCTTACCTGGAGAAGAAGAAGCTAAGGAGAAGAAGAACTGGACTGCTGCCCAGTGACCTGGGCTTCCATACCACCCCAGCAGTGCCACAAACTGATCACCTCCATGCCACGCCGAATTGAGGCAGTAATTAAAGCAAAAGGAGTCCCTACCAAGTATTGAGTACATGTACAGTAAATGAACATACTTTCCAGAAGGCCAACAATTCACTAAAAATGTTTTTTTTTATTGGTCTTATGAAGTATTCTAATTTGTTGAGATAGTGAATTGGTGGGTTTTTGTTAAATGTGAGCCAAAATCATCACAATTAAAAGAACCAAAGACTTAAACTACTTCAGTATGTGTGCATTGAATTTATTTAATACACTAGTTTCACAGTTTGAGTTGAATTACTGAAATAAATGAACTTTTCCACGACATTCTAATTTATTGAGATGCACCTGTATTTGTTGAACTGTTTGACATTTTCCTATCTAGTGGCGAGAATCCGCTGTATGCATTCTGTTTATATGCATCGCCAAGATCAATACAATTAACTTAGCTACCACTACGACTAATTGCATCAATCAGAAGCAGATATTTTAAAATTATATATGGATCTAAAGCAAAGATCATTTTAACAATATGGACTCTCCTTTGATTACAGTGAATGATTGAGATGTCTGGTTTGTTAAATTCATGTGTAATAGCATTTTCTGGGATGTTATGGAGACAATCAATGAGCTTTAATTACTGGGTGCATGTGTAATGTCGTCTGGAGATATATATGTATGTGTGTATGTCTATCTATATATCTATGTATATGTATGTATGTATGTATGTATGTGTGTGTGTGTGTATATATATATATATATATATATATATATATATATTTTTATTTTTAATTTTTTCTCTCTGTCTTGATTCAGTTTATTGTAAAGGGCACAGGGGGTATTAGCTCCAGTCACATAAATATTACATGGACAAGAGATGATGTAGCTATGAAATATTAAATATCAAAGTCTCCCGCTCTGCTGACGGATGTGAATCGCTGCAATGTTTGTGAATCCCCAGAGTACAATGTGTGTGTGTGTGTGTGTGTGTTTGCACGTCTTAGGACACACTTAGTGTCACTCCAGAGCAGAGGAAATTACTTCTCGCATTAATGTACATGTTCACGACTGTGTGTGAAATGTACAAACATTAATCTGTCATAATGTTTGTGTTAGTGTCATGCTTGAGAAATATTTCAAAGCATGTCTACAACACAACATTTTTGCATGCTGTATTGCGTATATATGGCGTGTGTGTATATATATATATATATATATATATATATATATGAGTCCAAACTCTTTAGAGATGGCTGTTGAAACCTTTCTAGCCTGATGAGCAACACCAACTCTTTCTCTGAGCTCCTCAGAGATCTAATTTGTTTGTGCCATGATACACTTCCACAAACATGATGATAGATCCCTGTTCTTTAAATAAAACAGGGCACACACTGATACCTGATAGTCATCTCACTGATTAAAAACACCTCTGAACAGATGGACTCTAATTTCACCTTCAAATTAACAGCTAATCCTAGAGATTCACATACTTTTGCATAATTTGAAATATTGGATCATTGTCCTGAATAAATAAATGAGAAAGTATATATTTTCATCTCATTTGTTTGATTGGGTTCTCTTTGTCAACTTTCTGGACTTGCATGAAAATATGATGATTTTTTGGGGTTATATTTATGCAGAAATATAGACAATTCTAAAGGGTTCACAAACTTTTAAGCAGCACTGTATAAGGTAGTGTCAGTAGGGGTCCCAGACACAAAGCTGCAGTTAATGAATCTCTGATAACCCCAAACGCTGGCTGTGAAGTCAGATACTCATGACATGAGTGAGAGCATGCTGTAATGGAAACAGGGATTTTAACAGGGCTTTTTTAAAGGGGCAGCTGACCCCTGTGCTATATCCATCCCTGTGGCGGTCAGATCCAAGCAGGCGCACATGCCATGAGGCTTAAACACCCCCCCGTTCTTCCGTTCTTCCTCCTGTCAACGTCATTGCTAGACTCAATCATTCCCGTAATTTCTGGCCAGAGCAGCTGCAGATGCCCCTGCAGAAATGTTAGTGACTCAAGGTGGCAGGTGTTAACTTGCATGTCACTTCCTCACCTTTTTTTGTCATAAACTGTGAAACACATAGGTCGATGGCCGCGGTTAGATGGTCTGTGGGGCCTTGTGTTGTGCTGAAGCATAGGTTACATTTGCGAATCAGTGTACTTATTAAATGTTTTTCTTCATTTCTTTGCCATAGGACTCTCAAATTCCAACATTAACCTGCCAGGTCGAGAGGATCAAGGCCCCATCTCTCCGTCAGCACAGTTACAGGACAAAAACGCCAACAACCACACCTCTCCCAACTCTTCGAACCCTGCACCCATTGAAAACGGCAACCAGATATCTAATGGTAATGGCACACAAGAGGTTAAGGGTGATGAAGCTTGTAAAGACTGCACACCAAACACTGGATCTCATTCATTAATGTACATTCGTTACAAATCATTTGCAATTGCATGTTTTAAAGCATTCAAACCAACACAGATCACACATACTAAACTATACTATACTATAGGCAACAAAGAGGGCTGCTTGATATATATATATATATATACAGTGGGTACGGAAAGTATTCAGACCCCCTTAGATTTCATTTATATTTACATTTAGATTTTATATATATATTTGTATATAATAAAAATGCTATATAAATAAATGCAATCTATTTACACAAATATAAAATATATGTTTAATATATATCAATATTTTTGAATGATTCACTAAAAAGAACTGGTTCATATTCCAAGTCACTTGTTTGTGAATCCGAAATCATTGCTAATTACTATGTGCATTATATATATTTACCTCATTTAGAATAATAATCAACATGTGCATCAACATTAAAGGAGGGTAGGAATAAATATTGCAAATTTCACCTAATGTAAATCCGACTGAGATTCTCAAGAACATTTTCTGGCCACGTAAATTAGACTTGTATGCAGTTATTAGTGATGAGACCCATTATCACTCGGGTGAAAATGTTAGGTCTACTACTCTTTCTCTTCATTACTTTATAAATGTGATCAAGAGTAGAGGAGGCTAACCCCACAGCACCCCACAATCCCATGTTACATTAAGCCATTGGCCGTTGCATGTCTTAATGTGCATCCATCCAATTATTCAAAGCTCAATCGCATGTCATTGGCCGGCCCAGCCTTCCCCCAAGGTTTGTTTACCACAGAGACAGCTCCAATGACTGCGTAACCTTTGGCCAGCTGAGCGTGACATACACCACACAGGCACAGTGCTTTACATGCATGAGGAAACATTGGAGATAAAGTGAGAGAATAAGAGAAAAGGAAAGTATGGCAGAATAAGAGCAGATAGTGAAATGGAAGGGATTGGAGAAATAGACAAGATAAGATGGAGCGAGTTGACCCAGAAGCTATCACTGAGCCAGGCCGTGATTAAAGTGAAAGGCCCTGGACTTGATAAAGTGCTCTCCTAAAGAGCCATCAGATGGCTCAGGGTCTCTCTGTCTCCCTTAAACAAACACATACACTCACTGTCTCTTGGCCTTTTGTCCTCTCAGTGAGGCTAATATCTGCGTGTCGGGGGGAACTTCCATATTCCACATGATGGGATGTAGTGGGTGGAAGTTTTAAACAGCCAGCAGTGACCTATACACTCAGCCATTAAATGCCTGCATCTTCAAGATAATGGTATATGAACTAATTTGCATTTCCCAAAGGAAATACCAGTGCTTGCAAGACAGCAGAAGAATAGTGTTAAAGTTTAGGGAGCTCAGGTTTTAGACATATCTGTTGTACAAGTTTTTTAGTGACTGTGATGGTTTTCAGAATTGGGGCTGTTTCTTAATATGATACTAGTGCCTAGTCATTTTTTATGAACACGACTGTAATACCATGGTACTTTTTTGGTACCGTAATGTTTGGAAATCTACTATGATGATAACATGTTTTTTTCAAAATCTCATGATACATGGCCCCATTCATTCTTTCGTTTACACGGATCAGTCGTTCTGGTCCCTTTGCAGAAAAACAGCCCCAAAGCATGATGTTTCCACCCCCATGCTTCACAGTAGGTATGGTGTTCTTTGGATGCAACTCAGCATTCTTTCTCCTCCAAACACGACAAGTTGAGTTTTTACCAAATAGTTCTATTTTGGTTTCATCTGACCATATGACATTCTCCCAATCCTCTTCTGGATCATCCAAATGCTCTCTAGCAAACTTCAGATGGGCCTGGACATGTACTGGCTTAAGCAGGGGGTCACGTCTGGCACTGCAGGATTTGAGTCCCTGGCGGTGCAGTGTGTTACTGATGGTAGCCTTTGTTACTTTGGTCCCAGCTCTCTGCAGGTCATTCACTAGGTCCCCCCGTGTGGTTGTGGGATTTTTGCTCACAGTTCTTGTGATCATTTTGACCCCACGGGGTGAGATCTTGCGTGGAGCCCCAGATTGAGGGAGATTATCAGTGGTCTTGTATGTCTTCCATTTTCTAATAATTGCTCCCACAGTTGATTTCTTCACACCAAGCTGCTAACCTATTGCCGATTCAGTCTTCCCAGCCTGGTGCAGGTCTGCAATTTTGTTTCTGGTGTCCTTTGACAGCTTTTTGGTCTTGGCCATGGTGGAGTTTGGAGTGTGACTGTTTGAGGTTTTGGACAGGTGTCTTTTATACTGATAATGAGTTCAAACAGATGCCATTAATACAGGTAACGAGTGGAGGACAGAGGAGCCTCTTAAAGAAGAAGTTACAGGTCTGTGAGAGCCAGAAATCTTGCTTGTTTGTAGGTGACCAAATACTTATTTTACCGAGGAATTTACCAATTAATTCTTTAAAAATCCTACAATGTGATTTTCTGGATTTTTTCCCCTCATTTTGTCTCTCATAGTTGAGGTATACCTATGATGAAAATTACAGGCCTCTCTCATCTTTTTAAGTGGGAGAACTTGCACAATTGGTGGCTGACTAAATACTTTTTTGCCCCACTGTATATATATATATGAGATTTCATTTATATTTACATTTAGATTTTATATATATATTTGTATATAATAAAAATGCTATATAAATAAATGCAATCTATTTACACAAATATAAAATATATGTTTAATATATATCAATATTTTTGAATGATTCACTAAAAAGAACTGGTTCATATTCCAAGTCACTTGTTTGTGAATCCGAAATCATTGCTAATTACTATGTGCATTATATATATTTACCTCATTTAGAATAATAATCAACATGTGCATCAACATTAAAGGAGGGTAGGAATAAATATTGCAAATTTCACCTAATGTAAATCCGACTGAGATTCTCAAGAACATTTTCTGGCCACGTAAATTAGACTTGTATGCAGTTATTAGTGATGAGACCCATTATCACTCGGGTGAAAATGTTAGGTCTACTACTCTTTCTCTTCATTACTTTATAAATGTGATCAAGAGTAGAGGAGGCTAACCCCACAGCACCCCACAATCCCATGTTACATTAAGCCATTGGCCGTTGCATGTCTTAATGTGCATCCATCCAATTATTCAAAGCTCAATCGCATGTCATTGGCCGGCCCAGCCTTCCCCCAAGGTTTGTTTACCACAGAGACAGCTCCAATGACTGCGTAACCTTTGGCCAGCTGAGCGTGACATACACCACACAGGCACAGTGCTTTACATGCATGAGGAAACATTGGAGATAAAGTGAGAGAATAAGAGAAAAGGAAAGTATGGCAGAATAAGAGCAGATAGTGAAATGGAAGGGATTGGAGAAATAGACAAGATAAGATGGAGCGAGTTGACCCAGAAGCTATCACTGAGCCAGGCCGTGATTAAAGTGAAAGGCCCTGGACTTGATAAAGTGCTCTCCTAAAGAGCCATCAGATGGCTCAGGGTCTCTCTGTCTCCCTTAAACAAACACATACACTCACTGTCTCTTGGCCTTTTGTCCTCTCAGTGAGGCTAATATCTGCGTGTCGGGGGGAACTTCCATATTCCACATGATGGGATGTAGTGGGTGGAAGTTTTAAACAGCCAGCAGTGACCTATACACTCAGCCATTAAATGCCTGCATCTTCAAGATAATGGTATATGAACTAATTTGCATTTCCCAAAGGAAATACCAGTGCTTGCAAGACAGCAGAAGAATAGTGTTAAAGTTTAGGGAGCTCAGGTTTTAGACATATCTGTTGTACAAGTTTTTTAGTGACTGTGATGGTTTTCAGAATTGGGGCTGTTTCTTAATATGATACTAGTGCCTAGTCATTTTTTATGAACACGACTGTAATACCATGGTACTTTTTTGGTACCGTAATGTTTGGAAATCTACTATGATGATAACATGTTTTTTTCCCCCCATTATTATTATTGTTGTTCTTGTTATAATGTTTTCATAACATATAATAATGGATTTATTTATTTATGCATCTTTGTGGTTGACATTAAACAATATGCAAATATAGTAGATGTAAGAAACAAGACCAGTCGGAATTCATATGGATTTATTACAATGACATCCTTGTTGCTAAACATTTGGGCAATAGCTACTTTCTAGGGGTGTAACGATACACATATTCGTATTGAACCGTTCGGTACGAGGCTTTCGGTTCGATATGCATTACAAACCGAACGAATCGATTCGTTGGACTACTTCTATTACATTTGGAAAATAAAACAGCTTAAAGTGTGTGAAATGTAATGTTCTCAGTGCCACTGCACTCAACAAGGCAGCCCAAACGACGTAACAGACAATGTGCTGTCTGCCCAGTGGCGTAACGTTAGCGGACGGGCACGCACTGCGAAAGACCCCACGATAACCTCCCCTTGCTGGGTTGTGTCGAAAGACGATGATCTTGTATCGACGATAGCCAGAGATATTGTCAAAAACATAAATTGTTGGCAATATTAAGATATTTGGCATTTCCAATTAATGTAGGCCTGTTACATTCTTATTTTTATTAGGCCTATTATTATTATTATGAAGTTAATTTTATTATTAAATTAAAACTACAATTAATTTGCCCCACAATAATTACCAAATAACTGACGTGCTGCGAGGATAACAAAAGATTAGACTATATATTTACTCCTCAATTAAAATGTTTTAAAAAAAAACTGTATTTTAAAACAGTTCTATTATACTATGAATTATAGCCCTATGATTAAAATAAAATAATAATAATAAATAATTAACACTTCAGTCATCAATAAAAATCAATGAAATAAAAAGCTTTTATTTCAAGCACCGACTTTCAAAAACAACCTGTTTAACATGAAATGTTTCTTCTAATTTGTTTCACTATATGTAATATTAGAAATATTAAGGGAATAAATAAAAACAGTTCGCTATATTCGACGAGAGCTTCGTCTCTGGGGAGGTGTACTTTTATGTATTAATCATTATTTAGTATTTTAACAATTATTTAATTTATTAATTTATACCCTTGTTCTCATGATTAGATTTTTAAGATTTAATAATTAAAAAAACTTAATATTACAAAATGAATTAGCAATAAACCAGTTTTCATTCCAATTATTCAGTCAATATGACTTTTGTGATGCATATCTAGGAATTTATACAGATTTTATGCACGTCTTGCATACATTTTTTTTTATTTTTTTTTTTTAGATTTAATTCTCTTAAAAATTTAAATAATTTTGATTATTATTAAAGAATTCTTGGAATGCAGTCAAAGCACTGAATCTGATGGTCACATAATTTAACAAACGCATCATAAAACTAAGGCTGAAATTATATACAATTTCTAATTATATTACAATTTGCTAAATATACAAGCTAAATAACAGAAATTTAAAGAGAAAGAAATTGAGGAATTTCCATGTAGTGTTCGCATTATGTGATTACAGTTAGAGCAATACATTAGAGCAACATAATCCAGAACATGCATGAAGAATGTTGCATTTAACATCCGGATATTTCTCTTTCAATAGGGACGTTGGAAGACGTGGGACATCCAAAGTCTAATGCGTCCAGGACCTCGGCGTTACACAGGCACATGGACAGCCACCACACTCAGGTGAAGCATATACACAAACCCACACTCACATGCACACGCTCTCTTGTGGCATCTGTCATCCACTCTTCGGTGGGGAGAAGGTCTCCAGTGACCCCAAATGGCAGATGTAATCATGGGTAATGAAAGTGAGAGCGGGTCCCATGTCATCCCAGACTCAGCACTCTGCCAAATGAAATGAGTCGAGGCTTATCTAGAGATCGTCTTCAGAGGTGCATTAGAGGAGAGGGGTGGTGCTCCAGCCCTGTTC